CCCCCCGGGTCGCGCCTTGCCCGCGCCCTCGCCACACGCCCGTGACTCTCAAAGTGATTTGGCCAAGTTGTTTGGCTCAAAGAGCAAATTTCACGAGGAATTTTCCTTCCTTTTGTTTGAGTTTCCAGCAGCAAGTTGTCGGCGTCGTCTTGGTCGGCCTTCTGGCGGGGCGCGCCGGATCGAGCTGTAGAGCTATGGGGATCGGGGCCGACGGGGCTCCCGCATGAGGGGACGACCACGAAGACGAGCCCGAAAGGCGCTCTGGAAACCCAAGTGTGTACATGTGTGCATTACCTCCTGAATACCTACATCACACACCATCTCTTGCATAATACACGAACACACTGGGAAAACAAATGTAGGGTAGGGCTTAATACCTTTCTATGGGTGATAAATTTTAATGCTCTTGCAAAATGCATTGAAATTTACAACCTTTAGGCAATTTAACTGCCTCTGTTTCACGCCTTTGTACAGGTATTCAAATTGTTTGAGTCGTACCTTTGTTTTTTTGCAGCGCATGCAGTTAACCCTACCTCCCGTATACATGTGACTACACTGAAAAAAAAAATACATTAGTGCTAAGGACAGTTGTAACACCTCCAAGAACATTTTGCTCTTGGATCTGTAGTGTAACTTTACTTCTGATTTCAAGTTACACCACACGGGGGGAGGAGAAGGTAAGGAAAGAGGAAGGGTGGAGGGAGGAGAGGGAGAGGAGAAGAGGAGAGGAGGAGAGATAGGAGCGCCGTCGGCGTGAATGAGTAGCGTGGTCGGTAGGCTGGAGTGATAAGTGACGGCCGCTGGCCGGGCGAGCGTCACGTTATCAGTTGTGAGGCGAGTTCGCTTCGAGTCGATGAGATGCTGATTTCAAGGTGTCAGTAGGTTCTCGGATCTGCGACAGAGTGTAAACTCGGAGCAGCGGCTAAGTCTCGGAGCGGCGACTGTTCTCGGAGCTGCGACTGATGTTAAGTCTCGTTGGGGCCTCGCTGCCCTTGGAGAGAGGGCAGAGTCTCGTAGAGAGAAGTCGGTGGATTGCAGTTGAAGAGTAGTTTATTGGTCCTTTCCCTAATACAAGTAGACTTGCAGCAGGTTCCCTAGAGTGGTGCTGGTCCTAGCTATGACTAGCTGGCGTCTGGACGAGTTCCTATGACTGGAGCCGGTGCTCGAGTGCCGAGCTTGACCTGCTGCGGTCCATTTATACCCTAGACGACTCGCTTGGCCCGGGTGAGGGGTGCGCGGGAGGTGCGGTACGCGTGGGAGGGGAGGCCCTCCGGGCGGTGCGCGAACGCGCGGTCAGCTGGAGTGTACGCGCCCGCGTTTAGTGATAAGAAGCAGGGCCAAAGCCCGAATTGCGTAAGGCCAGTCACGAGGTGTGGCTCGCTCATTACAATACCGCGTTTAGTGATAAGAAGCAGGGCCAAAGCCCGAATTGCGTAAGGCCAGTCACGAGGTGTGGCTCGCTCATTACAATATACCCCCCCATTAGTTTAAAATTTTTGAATGCAATGAGAAAATTTTCCAAGCGAGTCGTTTCGGTTTCCAATACATTTGTTTGATAGTATTTTCATTTTTGATGCTAAGTTAATGACTACTTTTCAAATTTAAAAATTTAGTCTAAGTTTCGACGGTCTCGATGTTCTGTAGAATCGGTAGAATCGATCTTCTGCTACGTCGTCGGTGCAGTATGCGCCGTGATGGTCGTTCTCGTAGATCTCTCTTTGCTGTCTTACTTGGTAGTGATGTTACTGCGTACTTCTTCATGGAGTCGAAAGGGTGTTGGTATATTCGTGGCGTTGGCGGGACATCGAGGCAGTTGTCGTTCTTCGTTGGTGCCACAGATGGTCCCTGTCTTCGTCGTTGGCTCCAGTGCAGTCACTCTGCGGAAGTGTTCAGTTTTTGTCTTGAATTTGAACGTTGTTGGTTCGGTGGTGACGTATCTATGCGATCATTCTTGGACTCGGTGATATTCTTCTGATGGTCGAGTTAGCAGATGACCATGGTGACTTGTTTTCATCGATTTCGCTGTCTTCTGTCCGTCGACATGCAGTGCAAACCTATATTGTATCGGATAGGTGCCGCTTTTAGTGCTGGTGATGTCTCGTTTCATCACTGATGGTGTAGTGTTTTGATGCCTCTGCTTCTGCTTGACGCATAGTGATGTCGAGTCGTTCTATTTCCCTGTCCAGTTGCCTGTCGTACGCCAGTATCGCCTGACTGTAGCGCTTTCCGGCCCGTGTCATGGGAGGTATTTTTCTGCCTGACTTGCAGTATTTTAGAAAAGCTCTCCGCAGTATCTCGTATCGACGGCAGACGGCGTTGACTTCCTCGATGCTGATCATCTTTATTTTCTTCTTGGTGTCGTCGCGGAGCGATGTTGAGATGCTACTGCCTTGTCCGTGCTTGTGCTGAGCTTCTTATAGTCGACGCAGTGAAGGGTTGTTTTGCAGTAGGTGTTTATTCAGAGTTGTCACAGTCAACAATGTAATTTCTGCGATGGTTCTTCTCTGTCGTATTGTTTGTGATGATATTTTCATGTTGGTGGTTATCGTTGTAGGAGTTAGCGTTGGTCCAGTGAGTTTGACGATGTTGTGTTGTCGCATGCATCTCCGATCCATTTTAAGTTCCTGATGTGAGGTGATTGGTGTTGAACTTCTTTGACGATGTCCAGCGTATTCTGCGATATATTTCCACTGACTGGTTCTCGCTGTAGTTTGTTGTTGCAAATCCATTCGTTGTGATGTCAATTTTGAGATGAGAGTGATAGTCGGGTTTTCCATTTGGTGCGGTTTACTTTAAAGTGTGGATGGTCCGTCGAACTGTTGTTTGTCTTCTTGGGCGGTGACCGGGTCTTATCGCATCCCTTATATTCTGCTGCGGTTTTTCCTCGTTGGAGGTAACGGTGTGGACGGACGGTGTATGGCGCTCCCATTGGGTGTTGACCCTCCGTTTGGTGAATGAGACGAAAGTCTTTCGCTGTTTTGGTTAGTCGAGGCTTGAACTGCGTCTCTGAATTCCTTATATTTCGCGTTGCCACGTAATGGGAATTTTTGTTGCTTCTAGGCCGGTTTGTCTTCGGGCAGAGTATTTTTCTCTCGGTGCCATTACTGGTGCATCTGGTGTGCGAGGACACTGATGTCGAGTGTAGCACGTCCAGTCGTCATTTTTAGAGCTCTTGTAAGCGCCGTGTCGACTCTTTAGCACTGTTGAAAGATTCGTTGCTGATTCTTGATTGTTAAAGTGCTGGGTACCGGGATGTCTGCCCTTGAAGTGCCTTCGTTCAACTTTGCTGGTTTTGGACGTGTTGTCCTGCAAATATGCATGGTGCCAGATGTGGGTTTCATTCGCCGTCATCCTCGCGAGCGGATGTGACTTGCCCTTATCCGGCGGTTGGTTCTGTGACACTCGCGCGAGGTTGCAGTTGCATCCTTGCTGGCGATTTGTGCCCGGTGGTTATTTTCTTCTTAGTTGAAAATTCTTCTTAGTTAAGGTTAGTGCCTTCTGTGCGGCGTAGTCCGTTGGGATACCGCTTGTCTTACTGAATGCATTTTCTGATGTGCTGTTTTCTCCGTGTTTTTTATCTCGTCGCGGAAACCGTATTTGTTGGTTGCTGTTCAGTTGTGCGCGCGCGTCTTAGGAGATTATCAGGAACAGCGTGGAGTTTTCACAAGTTGAATGTCGGTTCTGAAGAATCCAGTGTGTTAATAAAAATATTCTTCGATGAGCTTGTTGGTTTTCCTGGATTGCCTCGCATTTTCGTAGTTTAGCTTGATCGTTGTTAAGACGGGTGAGTGCTGTTGGACGTGTCCGGGCGCGTGTGCGTAGCATGCTGCTATTCTCCGTTGTTGTTCTTCCCGCGTCCGTTGTCCGTTCCCGAATTTTAGGCATTTTGGTAGCTGCTGCAGAGTGCGATGTTTTCTTCTCTTTCTGCAATCACGATAGCTTCTGCGAGTGTCTTCGGATCATGAGTAGCTACGAATCGTCTGAGAGAGCCCTTCAGTCCTTTGAGAAAAATGCCGAGTGTTGTTTCTTCCATGATGGCGAGTTTCATTTTGTTTTCCTCGGGGTTGTCCCCTAGTTTGATGCATTTTCTCCCTAGTAGCCGTAGTTTGGTCGCGTACTCCTGGACTGTTTCCTTGACTCCTTGGGTGCAGTCATTTAGCTTCTGTAAGTTGCTCATGCTGGATTCTTTCCTCTCGAAGCGTCTGCGAAGAAGAGTCTTGAATTCTTCCCAATCGCAGGTCATGAGTCGTGTTTCCACGCTGAGGAAATCTCTGGCTGGTTGTTGCATTCTCAGTCTTGCAATGGCGCAGCGCTGGACGTTGCTCCAACCGGAGAGTATGCTGATTTCTTCAACCGTTGACAGAAAATCGTTGATGTCGGAGTCCGACTTTCCTGTAAAGGGAGGAATATAAGTTATCATTCCCGTAGAAATGGCTCGTCCCAGGCTGTCTTGGCCGGCAAGTTGAGTTGCTTCTTCTGTGATGTCTCCACTATGTGCTGTATGCGTCCCACTAGGTCCTGCTTGCGTCTGAGGGTCGTTCTGCGTTCCGTTCCGGCTGGCCTGATTGGATTCAGCTGCGTTGGGCGCCATCTTGTTGCTTGCCGATTTCTCTGCTGACTGTTGATTTGTAGATTTCTTTGCAGAGTCTTGACTCGAAGTTTCCGTATTCGCTGCCACCAAAATACTGTAGTGTAACTTTACTTCTGATTTCAAGTTACACCACACGGGGGGAGGAGAAGGTAAGGAAAGAGGAAGGGTGGAGGGAGGAGAGGGAGAGGA